TAACTGGATGGACATTGCTTTGCCAGTTATCCATGCTCTGGTATTTTCTCTTTGGCAATACTGTAGTTTGTTGTAGGTGGAGTGAACTATGTAAGCAAACCAGAAACTTCAGTCGGTCAAAAGACTTTCATGGAGACTCAAACCATGGAGTTTTGATAAAAGCACCAATTTCACAGTAGTGGTTTTAATCTTCAAATGGTTTGGGTTCAAGTCATCTGAAGGATCACCCCTTCCCATATGTCCCTACCAATCCTTGAGGTCATCTTCTGGAAGACTTATCCAGGCACTCCAACCAGAAAATGCATAAGAGGTAGCTACTGGGTAGAGGTCCCTTTCAGTGGAGACATCCCCATTATGTAGGTGTAGTTGAAAGGAAGGGAAGGGTGGAGGCAATCCTTCTTCATGCATGAGAGGATGTCCATACCTTTTAACATCTGGAAAGTTATAGGCAGCCATATTGGCTTATACCCTAACTTATATTATATTCTCTGTTGCTGCATTTCTTTTCACTGTTGCTGTATATATATATAATTTTGTTTCTGGTTGTCATTTCTAATGACTTATTTAGCTCCAAAGGCTGGTCAGAGAACTTCATATTATGGGTTAGTTGATACAAACATTGATATTAAACATAAATTAGAGAATAATTGAGCAAGTCTATATGGTCATTCATTAAAAATCTCAATCTTAAGGCACTTCAATATGTCCTAATGTTAAGAACCTGGCGATACAATTCTTTATGTTTGTAGGAGGAATGGGATATCTCTGTGCATAAACAACAGAACTTGATTGCTTAGTGCATAACTTAATAAATAATAAGCACCAGTAGCAGTCATAAACTTGTTGATTATGGATTGCCATTCATTACAGATTAATGGTTCTTATCTGCATGCCACAGCCAAGCTTTGATGTGGTTTTTGAACCCAGCACAGCAACTGACTTAAATCAAGCCATGGAATTGGAAGTTTTAGTGTTTATCATCAATTATGATTTGCTCCTATCTGCATTTTCAGCTGGGTGCCAAAAGCTTTGCCACCCCAGAGACTTTCCACTTTATTGTTTCTGGAATGAAAAGAGGCTTTTAGTCACTAAAGTGCACAGTTAGAAAACAGGATTTCAAAATCCATTTACCTTCGTATCATTTTAGCAAAATCTTGGACTTTTTCTAGCATCTGAAATGAAGTACAAGATGGTTAGTGCAAAGTGAATGGGTCAGGTTGATCCAAATGGGAGAAAGAGAAGCACTTTCTCATGCAATACAAAGAATTCCTGCAGCTACCTCTTTATTGAGTGTGTGGCAGGCATCCTTAAATGTAATGTGCATTCACATTGTAATATAATGGATGGGCACAACCATATGAGGTGCTCATTATCGATCACATTTAGTTACATCATGGGGTGATTTTTTTTTACCAGATTTCCAGTTTCCAGCTGATTGTGGGAGTATGATAACCAACTCCTTATGCTTCCCACTGTAAGCTTATAAATGCCCAACTCATGGCAAGAGATAGTTAGAAACCTTCTACAGTTGCCTAGCATTTGCTAAAGTGAAACATAAAGCAAATTGGCTCTGATCAGATAAAACATCTATAGGAATTAAAGGATGGTTGAAAGAACTTTAGTAAGTTTCAATTTCTCAGAAATTTAGACTCCTCAAAGTTGCCCCAAATTCCACCTAAAGTGAAACAGTTATGGTACCTAAGATGGGGAGTATGTTTCATTGAATTCAGTGGGCAAACTCAGTCGGCAAACTAGATATGTATAGGGGTCACACTGACCTGTGTGTCATATCTGTGGGAATTGTAACCACCGTTACAGCAATATGATTTGTAAAAGTATCATATGCATTTTTACAAATGCATTTTTATTTCTCATGAAAGTTTGGATGTGCAACATTTCTCAGATATGTCCCAGGTATACCCACTCATCATTTTGTTAGCTCATTTTCTAGTCTAGTATTTCTCAAGTGACTAGAGAAAGTAATGTTTAATTATCTAACAATATTTATGAAAGATATTTCCAAGCAATGTTCAAAAGCAAGTCTTAACACCAAAAACCCAGAAGGGTTGGCAGCCTGCCTAATTTGTAGCAGTAGGGAGTTCCACTCAAAAAAAAAGGGAAAAATGCAGTAAAAACAAAATGCCCCATCGCATTAAAATCAGCCCATGGCTGCTTAACTCAAGCTATGGAATACCATGCCAAAGAGAAAGGGTTACAGTTTTTCTGTGAAATACTAAGTTTTGGACTTTGGAAGTTGTTAAGCTGTGAAAATCAATGCTGCAGGTCATTAAATTGCAGGTCAGCAGCAATTTTACTTGCCCCCTCTCCTTCCCTTTGTACTGCATATCAACCTCAAAATCAAGCCATGATCTCCCATATCCTTGGCACATGCCCCATCTGCTGTCTGCCATCACTGTGCCACCAGGAAGACTTACCTCCTCTTCTTTCAGTAACTGTTTGAGGATGGCTGCATGGCTGGCCGGCCCCGATGCCTGGTTAGTGGGAGCCATGGTGATGAGGGAACTGACCTAGCTTGAGAAATCAATATATGGTCTCCCTCCCTCTCTCTTCCCTGGCTGGATGCTGTCTGTATCTGTGGTTGCCATGGTAGCAAACCATGCTTCCAGAGGAACACAAAGACGCTGATTGGCTGCTGCCAGTTGTTCAGGGAGGAAAAGGAGAGGCAGGCCTTGCCTCTGGCATTTGTGGAGTCCGTTCTGGTGTTTTCTTACATCCATTTAGTGAAGTGGGCTCCTTCGGTTTGCATTCTCTCCACTGTTTCCCTCCCATTTGTTAAATTATTCTAAATCATATTTTTCCCCGAAGGGGAAAAGGACTAGAGATGTATTTTACCTGCTGCATTTGAACCTATTTTTCTCTTCCCTGAATTTCCCTAGCTAGAATCCCTATCACTCCTATGGAGTTACTTCTTCACCAAGGTGTTGTTTTGCTACTTGAGAAAGAAACTAGTATTTGTGGGGGGACATTAAAGAAACAGAGCAGCAATACACCAACTCATGCATGTAAGTGACAGAACTGATAGAATTATTATTATTTATTCAAATCATTTCTTGTGACACCTTTCAGCAGCTCAGGGCCACTCGTGTAGAAATAAAGACTATTCAATGTAAAATCAGAAGGCATCACTAACTCAAACAGAACCAGAAAAGCAGTTGCAGTAAATGCAAGACTGTTATCAGAGAAATGCCCTCTAGAATAAATGGGATTTTCTCTTCATTCTGGAAAGCAGAATGAAAATAACAGGCCTTGACAGGAAGGTTGTTTCATAGTGTCATGTCAGTACTGTGCATAAAGAGATTTGGAATAGATCCCAACCTATGGAGAATGTGGGAATTCATGCTAGAAGACAGTATCTCTAGGATGCATGGGTTCTGGGCCATGAATAGCTTTAAAGATAAGCTCTGGTACCAGAATTTTGCATACACCCATTTAGTCACTTTTTCTCATTACATGATAAGCCATTGCATTTCACCCAGTACTTCACTGATTTCTGAAGGTGAAAATAACTCTCCAAGGAGCAATACAAAAAGCAAGTATTTCTGAGTGCCTAAAGATACCATTACTCCTTTGTGCACTTGGATGTGAATTAGCATGTCATCAGCATGGTATCATTATTAACATAGAATTCCAAAAAGCCCTTTTCTAGAGGTGTGGAGGAACTGTGATCTAAGAGCTGATCTGCACAACTTACTCCTATGGGGAAGGATAAGTTCAGTCAGTAGCATCAAATATACCATGATATCTCATTGCAGAGCACTGCATGAAGTTCATGAAGAAGTACAATGTTATCAGAACACTTCTCTGCATGCTTCTTCAGAAGTAATCCCTATGGGATTCAGTGAAACTTATTTCCAGTGTAGTTTGTGTAGCATTACAGTCATTCTCAGCACAACCTGTCTCACAGGGTTGTTGCTGTATAGATAAAATGGAGCGATGGAGAGCACCTTGGGTTCCTATATAATTGCAGTGGAAGAAGGTGGCAGCGAAGTGTGATCTCAATTTTTGAAAACAAATTAATTTTCTTTGATAGGTAAACAAAAGCAACTTAGCTGTTTCTACAATCTTTGGATTAGACTTTGGTAAGATTCCTAAAATTGGCCACCAGTTGAATGAGCTTCCCTTTCGCCATGAATCCATTTGGTGTTTTTTAGTAAAGTCACTGACAGCCTTAGTTTCCCAGGTTGGGAATAATAACCCCTAACCCATCCTGAGAGAACAAACTGAATAATTGGAAAGTCATTTACAAATTAGGAATTGTTGAGAGAGAGAGAGAGAGAGAGAGAGAGAGAGAATGGGAAGCAATAGCAGTGCTCTTTTCTCCAGCCATCCAAACTATCACAACTCTGTGTTCAATAGGAAGATTGTTTGAAGTGTAAATGCACAAGTATGCAGTACTTTTTATCTCTTCAGAAACACTACTGTATGAAGCAGAGTGCTCAAAATATAGTGTAGTTTTACAATAGAATGAAAAATAGTTTCTATTGTTGAAAGCTTTATTATATGTTTGTACGCAATGCTTTTGTTATTCTCAGAATTGTTTTTAGAGGTTAGCAGATAAGGCACTGTAGCATGGAAAAGATGATAGAAAAGGAGGGGAAATTATATATCCTTGAGGGTTTTTATTTAATGTGTTTAGATACAGAGGGAATCTCGTGTAGCCCTTTTTATTTGTAGTTGTTCAGTGCTTATTGAATGGAGAAAGGTTAAACTGGAATCCTTTCCTAGGAACCTGGCATTTGCAATCTCTGCTAAATAATGCCTTAAGTGGATATAAAAGGAGTAGCTTGAGAGACACAGAGGGGGGGGGGGGGGGGAATCTGTTGCTGAAACAGGATAGTAGAAGTGGGCCATGATAAGATTGCAAGAGCCACTTTTTTAATGTCCATCTAGACTACAGGCAAAAAACAAGCAAGCAAACTTTCCCCTTGCCTTGGACAGGAAGAGGCAAAGTGGAGGTCTCCTTATGCTTTGCATCACAGATCCCATCAACCCCAGCCAACATAGTCTGTGGTTAGGGATTAAGGGAAATGTGATCCCAAACAATTGGAGGGGTTGCCTTCATACCGGAAAGCTTCTTGTGCCTGGAGCTCAACTTCTGCTTTGTATGAATCAGCCACTGCACTCTCCAGTGCAGGTCAAGAGCAGCTGGCTGGCTTAAAGGAACTACAGCTAGGCCATTGTTTGTTTCTTCTGGAGTGCATTGAACCAAAAAGTTTTAGGTCTTTGTCAACTATTGATTAGTTGATGAAGGCTATTAAAATCAGAGCTCATGCAACATGCTGATCAACTGCAGTGCTTTCTGTTTTATTTCACAAAATATGAACAGGTCATTCCATTGCATCAAAAAAGGTTCCATCCTCAGTGGGCATTGCCATTGTCCTGTGGCTACAAGAAGATGCAGCTTTGTGGGTTTATGGACTGTGATTAGCGAGGATACATTTTCCACAGATAGCATTGAGTTTCTAGGATCATTTGCAACTCAGCTCAAAAGCTATGTTTTTTTTAGCAGCTGACAAGTGTCCCACAAAGACAATGCCAGCATGTTATATTCTACCCTCTTTCCCCTGGGAAAGGCCCTTATTTCTGTTTTTCACAAAATTGCTGATTTTTAGCAAGCTCTACTTCCACAAGTTGTTGATGTTTGGATGACTTACAGTGCACTCCTAAAGGACTGATGCCTTTTAGATGGAAGGCTCTGAGGCTGGAACAGTCTGTCCTGCTAGGAAGTGCCAGACAGGATAAGTGGGTTGCTCCCCTCTAATTCTACCTAAAAAGCATTTTAGCTAGGCAGGCTGTCTCACTGGCATACCTTGCTATGAGTCGGGATGAGTGGCAGCCAGGCCATGTGGATTCACATGCCTTCTCTTTCTTCCCCTCCCCACTCAGCATCCTGCCCCCTTTTTTCCTTCTGCCCAACTCCTTCCAAGGTTGTGACATTGGCCTTGGAAAACAAGCCACTGCAGAGCTTCCTGTGGTGGCTTGAAGTAGGAAATCCCTGCTTGGATTTTCCCTCAATTTATAGACTGGGGGGTGGGGGATTGGTGTCTGCACCAGGGATCAAACAATTGTAGCTTTAGATGCCTTTAAGAAAATTCAAGGCAATTTAGAACAAAATTAAAACACAAAATTAAAACAGCTAAAACAGCTATCCCTTAAATTACAACCACCCTATAAAACTTTTAAATATTAGTAAGAACCACAAGGAAGGAAAGATGATGCATCTTGATGAGCCACAAATACAATGTTTTGCTTGAACTATCTGTTGAAAATAACACTGTCCCCTGTTTATGTGCTTTATACAGGTTTCCTTCAGCTGTCATTTCAAGGCTGCATGCAGCTTATTCATGTGGATGATCAACTGGTGGATTTGCATGCCATAGAACAAGGAAAGCTGGGAAGTTTTGCCAATGTCAGCATTGATATGTGTGCCATTATTGATCGGTAAGCATTAAACAAACAATGGAATGGTGGATGTAAAACCATAAGCATGTCAAGATGAAGGTGAAAAATAACTGTTTTTCTATATTTAGTATTAACTAATTTTTCTAGGGCTAGTCAGGTTTACAATAACCTTTGCAATATCTTGGGGTTGATCCAGAATTTGCTTTCCACTGATGGGAGGGCTCTGCTCATGGAAGATGCCTTTGCCTGATTTTCAGGGACATCCCCTCCCATGACACCACAGTTCAGCCCATTCATCAGCATCCCATGACCCTTTCTGTAGCACTTTCAAAGAGCTGAAGGAGCTGCCATGAAAAGGAGGGAGAGAGAAGTCCACTTCTGCTTGCCCAGTTGCACATGCCTGAACCCCATATCTCACAACTGGAATTCCCAAACGGTGTATGCAAATCAGAACCATCCACTGATTGAAATGGGCTTCTAGTGAGCAGAGCTCTCAGTAGTTGGTAATTAATGTTCCATGCAAGTTATCACAGAACTCTGGAGGCGAAGGGTTTGTGTGACAAACATATTGTGTGAAAGGACTTATCATATGGCTATTCACAGCAGGGGTTTGTAAATGTTTCTAGGAATCACTTAAAGATATGGAAGTGACTCAGCATCATCACCTTCATACCCCAGCTCCTCTGACTGCTTCTTGGCATGTCAGATTCCTACATAGAAGGCATTTGTAGCCACTCACAGTTCCTTAAGCCGATTAAGAGACTACCAACACCAGTTCTTTAAAGAATAATTATATGTTCACAAAGGTATTGCTCATCAGGATTTGCCATTGTTATAGTGGAATTGCCTCTTTGGTTATCAGCCTACATCAGCTAATGGTAGTAGCTCAAGCACCCTTGCTTCCTATGTGCATGTATAGATTTATTGAATAAAGAAATCCACATATGCCTCTACAGTTGACTGCTCTGAAATAATGCAGATGAGCTATTCATCAAGGCTTACTCTTTTCCTCCAAATGAACAGATGAGCCAGTTGGTGTCAGTATACAAGATTAAAATATAGATAATGTAACTTTGAAAAGAACTACAGCCCATGCTGTTTGTTCAGTACATATCTAGCACATGAAGCAATTTTCTTCCCCCAGGGGGATTCGTGGCAACTTGAGATTTATTAGGCTGTGAAAAATCAGTCTGCTGGAATGCTATTGCAATAGCAGGATCCCTGAAAGAACTAGACTCCTGTAAGGGCTATAACAGGTGTTTATACTTGCCCATGATAAAATCATAGCTGACTAACATCTTTAATGTTAACAAAAAAATTTAAAAGCACAAATTAAACCGTGTACTGTTCTTATCATTGTCCTCTGCTATAACATCTTTCCTTCTTGTTTAGTATAAAGAACAATGAATAATATGTATGAATATTGCACATGTTGTACTGCGTAGCTCTGACATTTCCATGACTCTCAGCAATGTTAGTGCAGATGCACAAGGCTGCCATGCATGGAATGGCCCTGACTTTCCCAGTGAGTAGCAGTTCCCAGCCAAGGGCAAATGCATCCTCTGACTTATTTGCAATGAGCAAAAGCTGCAGTTGCAGACATTATTCCAGCAGGGCTGGGTGAGAAACTTGCTAAGCATAATTTGCACTTCCCTGTTGGGCATATAAGCCAGAATTTACTGAATGTAAATTTAGTATTTAAATTTTTCTGAATCTTTCAATACAAATTTTAAAAAGAAGCATGCACAATATGCATCTGTTGGTGAAAGTGCACACAAAAAAGTACATATTATATTATGTTAAAGAGTGCATTATAAAATGTCAGGAGAAATTGCTTGAGAGAGCACACATATATTTGCAAAAGTGCATACAACATGCATGTATTTGGAGAAAATTCACATGAAAAATGTACAGTCTTTTGTAGATTTTCAAGGAAAAATTATATACAGTTATGAAAATGGGATTGAGAGAAACTAATGCTGGCATAATCAGAATCTGAGCAGATTCAAACAGATTCTTGACAGGTTCATCCATCATTTGAAGGCAGAACTTGATATTACTCCGGACATGAGAATGCTACCCAAAAGTGATGTCTAGTCTTCCCCTCCCTCCCCTGTAATATTTAGATACACCTACCAATGTCATGATGTCATCATGTTGGAGCATCACCCAACCCATATCCACAACTGTATCATTTAGAAGGAGTCCAGCATCTTGCTTCCACAGCTATGCATAATGGGGGATGCTGTTTTCAGCAGAAGCTATGTGTCAGGGACAAGATGTAGTTCTCTTTGAAGGGTCATTCTATTTGTCACAAATGAACTAAATGACCTATGTATGGTTCAACTTTTGCGGCACTTCCAGTGAGCAAATTTTGTAAGACTAACAGATGATGCTTTTGCTATTCTACCAACTATATCAACTGAGGAACCGATATGAACTGGTCACTGCAGGCAATAGGAAGTGGATTTTCCCAAGCATTAGGAATATGGGTCTCACTCACCAGCCATTGTGGGTACAAAAAGACATAAATAGCAAGCACTTGGGAGCCAAGGCTGATGTTTTCCGGCAGAACCATCACACTCCCAGTGCAATCTACACTTTTTTAAAAGCAAAAAGGTATGGGTCAAAAAAAAAAAAAAAAAAAAGCAGATGCCTGGAAAAGGGGGACTACAAAATGATCTGTGCCAGAGCTATCCTGCTTTATCCTGCTTTATCCTTTATTCTGATTCCTATCTGGCCAAAAACATCTGAGGAATTGTAAGGGAAGTTTAGAAACATTGATAAGATTAACAAGATTCCTCAGCAGGGGCTCACACAGGTCTGCCTGAACTGGCTAGTGTGTATGGGCTGGTATCTTGTGCCAGCTTGCACATTCAAGGTTGTGTGTGGAGGGAGACACCCCCCACCCCAATGTAAACATCTGTTCTCTCATACCTCTTGCTGCACAAATCCAGAAAGACAGCTATGATGTTGGGCAGAGGAGCTGGGTGGAAAGAGAATTCCCAAGCAGTAAGAATCACAGGCCTTTCAGATTCTTCAGAAAGCAATTCTTGCAGCTTGTATTTCCCGGGTCAGCACCCTTTACAAGAATACTTACAATGGAAGTCACACAATTGCCAAAGTGATCAATATGCTGTACAGCAAGTGACAGTTCGGATTCCTGCACATCTTTTTCTTATCATTGACAAACTGTGTTTGTTGTGGTAGTCCAGATGGTCTGGTTGTACATTAGGGTTGTCACACAGCACATTGCAGAGGAATTATTATTCACAACTGATTTCTCCCAGAAGCCTGGGGAAACTGGTTGACTGTGCCTGGCTTTCTCGAAGCAGAGTGCATATAGATTTTCATCACTGGGAGAGCACAATGAGATGCTAAAAGGAATTTTGAAACCTCCCATCCAATATGTCATTACAGATTATTTAAACATATGTCGATTTTAATGAAAATCTGGCAGTGTAGTTTAAAGACATGTGAAATAGCTGGAATACACAAACAAAATGAAGCTTCACAGCAACAGAACTTTTTCTGAGGCTGCTTTGCCAATGGTGTGTGCATATATTAATGCTTTGATTCCCTATTTGCTGCAAAGATTCATTGGCATGCCCTACTTTTTTCTTCGTAAATGCATGCAGTTTAAGCTATGAGATAGGGCCAGCACTCTTTTTGGTGGGATATCATTGCTTACCTGAAGGTAGTATATTTGAGGCCTCAGGGATACCAACTGATTGGCACAACTCTGCGAGAAAGGCATTTCTGAGGTGCTTTGATTACAAAATAAACTCATTTTTTTATGAACTACTAGAATGTAGAGGCCAAGCAATTGAGCTGTGAACCAGAAGTCCCAGGCTGAGATGCTATCCCAACCTGCAAGGCAAAGGCTTCCAACCTGCAAGGAAGCGCCACATTCTGGAAATAAGCAATCAGGATGCTGGGAGGATGGAGCAACTGCACTTGTATCTTCACACCATGGTATTATGATGTTCAGGTATCACAAGATGCAGGCTTTCCTAGGGGATTGGCCACAACATGATTGGCAGAGCAGACAGAGAACTTCTCTTTCTGATCCACCAGTAGATTATCCATTTCTACCCAAGCATTTTGCTTCTTTGTATATCTATTTGAGCATCCTAGACACAGGATTCAGTCACTGATTGATGGGGCTGAGATGAAATGTTACCTGAAATGCAGTTGGCTAGATGAGGTTAGGTGTTCCCCAGAGCAGCTTGCAGGTTCCAAGAAAGCAAGCCTCCTGAGTGATTTCATCTGTATTTTGTTTGACCTTCTAGTATGTGACCAATCCAACCCTTTTGCAGAATTGTACAAAATTATACAGTCACAGGGTGTAATGACCCTTTCAGTTTGACATGAGTCATTGACACATGTTTACAGGTGGTGGTGGTGGAGGAGGAGGAGGAGGAGGAGGAGGAGGAGGAGGGTTTGGCAAGGTTCATGAACTGCTTGAACTGACAGGGATACTGCAGTACTATGTATTAACAATGTGAAAAGCTAGGATTGATGCATGTGTATATATACTTATTCAGGAAAGTGGAATTGTTATTCCCTTTCCTCTTCTTGTTAAAAAAAGACTTTTAACAGTAACAAATAACATCCATAGATATCTTGCTTAGCAAGCAGCAACAACTCTAGAAGACCACAGGGGAAGAAGTCCTGGTTAAGTCTTCTAGGGGACTTTCCTGAAATCCCAAGCAGCCAAAGAAGCTGCAAGGTCAGAACCAAATAAAAAAGGCAAAATAAAGAGCACACCCAGCCCCCTCAGCCACCTTATTCCAACAAGAGATACAGAGTGCTGTTGATCCCTGACAATCTGGCAACATCAACATGCATCAAGAATACTTGAAAATATTTGTTACACTGCTCTGGGGGAATTACTGGGATTCGGTCTGGTTTATTCAAAGCCTTTGTTGTGGTTGTTATTGCATCAATAAAGCTCCTGCAATCTGAATCAGGGCTGGTACACTGTGGGTGACTAATATATGAGTAATATACTTTCTTTAGGAGTTAAATTAATAACT